TCACATACCATCTTCTGTATGAGATTTTTGAAACGAATTAAAACGTACAGCTCTGCTACCACTTCCAAAATAATGAAGACAGAAAACTAAACAGCAGTGGCGTTTGCAGGGTTACTGAAGTTGGACTACCTGGTATATAATGTTGTGCTACGTGATTGCTAGCTACACTAATTAGCACAGTGAAGCTGGAGGATGAACGCCAACTTTTTTCCACTCGATAAAAGTTAACGTGAGGGATTCTGGTGGTTAGGGACAAATGCAATCGCATAGCATGATGCTATACACGGGGCAAACTTCAGTCAGGAGAACAACTGAGATCATTCACCCACAATACGAGGTTAGTTATTAATATACTGCAACAAAGAGCAGCTGCGAGAGAATTCAACATTAATGAATCAATGTTATGGAAGTGGAGGAAGCGCAGTTTTTGGCTTTCCCCATATTTCAAAAGTGCTTCATCTCTTTGCTATGACTCTATGTATAATTTGCAGATGATAATTGTTGTAGCCACTGCGATGCTTTCGACCAAAACAGGCGCAGCTTGATGACATCATCAACATGCGCTATCGCGATAGAGCGGTATAGTCAAAATCTCTATCGTTGGCCAAATTTATATAGTTTCTACTGTATATCGTTTATATCCCCCCCCCTAGGGCTGACGCAATCTAGACTCTAAAGAAGTGATCTATTTAGAGCACAGGGTGGAACACTGAACGGTTCAAATAGGTTGGCAAGCTACCTCCAAACACATGTATAAGCTAACTCAAGACTAAGACTAATAAAATAGCAACGTTTCGCTCATTTAAGCTGAAGCTCAAAGCTCTTGGGTGGTGTCTACCACACAGCCAGTGATATGATTTTCAGGTCATTGAAATACTCCTAAAGCAGCGACAGTCAAACGCTCCATATGGGAGACACAAATTAGCAAAGCTGAAGCTTCTAATGTCTGGTCAGCTATCAACACCGCTATTAAGCCTGAACGACTTCAACTCAATTCCACTCACACCTGTCATCACTAAGCGCCTGGAACATTTCATTCGAAGCCCTTCCACCATGATCAACCTTCCCTCTGGAGACCCCCACCAGTTTGCCTATACAGCAAATAGGTCAAGTGAGGACACAATAGCTACAGCTCAACCTTTAACACAATCATCCCCAACATCCTGGTGAGGAAACTGTCTGACCTGTCCCGGCTCTCACTTACTCCTTGATCCTCAACTTCCTCACCAACTGCCCACAGACTGTCAAACTCGGTCCTCACCTCTCCTTTACTTTAACACACACACTTGTGGCTCCCCACAAGTGTGTGTTTTGAGCTCACTGTTCTACACTACCCTAACCCTAATCTGCATACAGGGATTCAATTCAATTCGATTTTATGTATACAGCGCCAAATGTCAACAACAGTCGCCTCAAGGGACTTTATATTGTAAGGTAGACCCTACAATAGTACATACAGAGAAAAACCCAACAATCATATGACCCACTATGAGCAAGCCATTTGGCGACAGTGGGAAGGAAAAACTCCCTTTTAACAGGAAGAAACCTCCGGAAGAACCAGGCTCAGGGAGGGGCGGCCATCTGCTGCGACTGATTGGGGTGAGAGAAGGAAGCAGGATAAAAGACATGCTGTGGAAGAGAGCAAGGGATTAATAACAAGTATGATTCAGTGCAGAGAGGTCTAATAACAGACAGTGAGTGAGAAAGGAAACTGAAGAAAAAATACTGAGTGCATCATGGGAATCCCTCAGCAGCCTACACCTATTGGAGCATAACTAAGGGGGCATTCAGGGTCACGTGATCCAGCCCTAACTACATGCTTTAGCAAAAAGGAAAGTTTTAAGCCCAATCTTAAAAGTAGAGATGATGTCTGTCTCCTGGAAGCTGGTTCCATAGAAGAGGGGCCTGAAAACTGAAGGCTCTCCCTCCAATTCGACTTTTAAATACTCTAGGAACAACAAGTAAGCCCGCAGTTCGAGAGCAAAGTGCTCTAATGGGGTGATATGGTACTACAAGGTCATTAAGATAAGATGGGCCCTGATTAGTCAAGGCCTTGCATGTGAGGAGCAGGATTTTGATTCAATTCTGCATTTAACAGGAAGCCAATGAAGGGAAGCCAAGATTGGAGAAATCTGCTCTCTCTTTCTAACCCCTCGCAGTACTCTTGCTGCAGCATTTTGGTTTAACTGAAGGCTTTTCAGGGAGTTTTTAAGACATCCTGATAATAATGAATTACAATAGTCCAGCCTGGAAGTAATAAAGATATGAACTAGTTTTTCAGTGTCACTCTGAGACAGGATATTTCTAACTTTAGAGATGTTGCACAAATGGAAGAAAGCAGTCATATGTGTTTAATATGTGCATTGAAGGACATATCCTGGTCAAAATTACTCCAAGGTTCCTCACAGTATTACTGGAGGCCAAGGTAATGCCATCCAGAGTAAGAATCTATAGTAACAATCAGGATGGCAGAGTATATTTCTAAAATTTTCAAGGCCAAGTACAATAACGTCAATTAGATCTGAATTTAGAAGCAGAAAATTAGATGTCATTCAGTTCTTTATGTCTTTATAAAGACCTGGATGCAGTTACACCAATTGCTGTGTGTTATTTGGCTTCATGATAGATAAAGTTGTGTGTCATCTGCATAGCAGAGACTGTGATGGGCTCTGAAACCCCATCACAGTACAGAATATGAGGTGCTGAATATGTCTGTGTGGTGTTCAGTAAGCAATCTGGCTTACACAAGGCCAAAGGAGATGATCCTGGACTGTAGGAGGCACAGAGTAGACCTGCCTCCACTCTACATATGCTGACCTCTCCTGGAATGCAAACACTTCCACCATCATCAGGAAGTCACAGCAGCATCTGCACTACCTGAGAGTGCTCAGAAAGAACAACATCTGTGAGAAACTGCTGACCTTCTACCACTCGCTATAGTGTATCACAGTGTAGTTCACACATTGCACCCAGGCTGAGCGGAAGACGCTCCAGAGAGTAGTCAATACTGCACAGAAGATCATCGGCTACGCCCTCCCCTCTGTTGCAGACATCTACACATCCCACTGCCTGAACAGAGCTGAGAGACTCCACCCATCCTACATCTTGCATCCCACCTGTTTGACCTGTAGGCCTTTAGGAGATTCTACAGGTTAATCCAAACCAGGACCATGAACACACGCCCCACTTAAAGTCACACATCAGTACCTCTCACACATACAACACACACACACACATATGCACACATACAGTAACACACACTCACACATAAACTTACACATCACTACCACACAAGACAAGTGCAATACTTGAGAGCAACCTTGCACATTTGTATAAACCTTGTACATTTGCACAGTTTTATAGCTGGTATTTTTAGATTTGTTTATGTTGGCTATTTCTTTGTTTTTATTATTTTTTATTCTAAATGCTGCTACCAGGTAGCTGCTTCTATATTTCGTATAACGTCCGATGTTTAATGACGGTAAAAGGATTATCATTCTGATTTTATTTGAACCCAGTGCAGGAATAACAGACTCCACCACTTGCAACAGAGGGCACAATAAAGAGAGATAAATGCTGAATCTGAATACATTTAAAAGCTACAGTTTTAACCCGAATGACCACATACACAGACAAATGAAAGGAAAATGCAACATAAACATGTTCAAACACGTTAGACAACCACATGCTGTCACAACAGCTTTAGTGCCCTTTGCAATTGATGAGGCTGCAACAAATGCTGTTTAACACAAAATCTCCTTTAGGTGTTCAGCAAGTAAAGATGTGATGACTGTAAAGCAAATAGCACAGGTTTCTCACTGTTTTTGTCCTCTAAATGTTCAGTAAGCTCTCCTTCTCTACATATCAGGTTATTGTCATCACTGTAGAAAACAGTCTCATCTGAAGATGATCATTCACAACAATTTGATTTACAGTGACCCTTTCCCAAAGGGACAAATGTTCTGGATCATTTCACCGAAGGAGTGGAATGATTCAGGTAATTCCTATTGATTTAAGAATTTTCTTTTTCCTTGCAACCCACCTATTGTTACCTTCGTCCATAAAGATCTCACTGAATGTCAGCTAAATTAGAAGCAGGAAACATGGCATGAGAATTTTCCATGCTGTTGGTTTTAGGAACAACAACATCTTTAGGCCAGGATAAGAGGTTTAGCTAAACATGGGGATTTCACCGATGGTGCCACCATTTCAATGGTCTGAAATGATGGTAGTTAAAAGGTCAAAATGGGAAGCTATGAGCTGCCAGCTAGTTTCAACCAAGCCAAACCATCCATTCACCACCATTTTCTTTTCTTTGAGGATTTTTTTTTCTTCATAAGGTCACCACTATGGTGAAAAATAAGAAGTGGCCTACACAGAAGACTTATTTCTAAGTGAAAGAAGGGTCCCAAAAAATATCAGGGATTAGAATGCTAACTTTTCGATAGATAGATAGATAGATAGATAGATAGATAGATAGATAGATAGATAGTGTTTGAGACACCAACTTTGTTCCTCACTTAGTGTCAGCCAGCTTTCTAATTTGCATGCTGGTGCTCCGACTCGAGGAATCCCCTCTCCCAATTAACTGCGGAGCTGGCTGACTGGTGATTTCTCTATTTTTCTTTGTCTCTGCATCCACTCGTGCCTGATCGTGGCTCCCACGCACACGAATGGACTCGTGTCCACACGGAGGATTTGAGGCTGCATGTGCAGCCCGTACTGCTGTGCCAGTGTGGTTGGAGCTGCTGGCGCAGTAAACAGCGAGACGCTGCTTCAGACTCGCTCCTCTCCCTGCCCTACTGCGAGTCGCGCGAGAGGAGGTGTCTGAGAGGAGCAGAGGGATGCCCGGAGACGAGGTGTTTTTGCGGTGCATAAAAACTCAACTGGCGCCTCTATCATTCCACTTGGATGCGAACCAAGACACAGAAGGACAGAGAGCGCAGAAACGCGCAGAATCAGCTATCACTCTGGTTTCGCACGAGAAATCAAACGCCTACCTGCTGTTGAGACGCTGCTCCACAGCAGCCCGATCCACAGCACCGCGGGCAACACGACCGAGCAGGCGGCCGGCGGCATGGCAACAAACCCAGTGCAGAGAAGAGAGACTCAAGAGAAGAAAAGAGTGTCAGCTGGTTTATCTGTGGTCAGGCGGGCACGTAGAAGCGTAGTGTCGCGGTCAGGATCGTTGGGGGTCCGCATGTCAGAGCAGCATCTTTCTGACTGCAAGCAGCGCCTCCTGCTTTCTGCCTGAGATCTGCCCCTCCACCCTCCCGGCCGCTTCTCCACGGACTCCTCAGTCCTCTCTCTCTCTCTCCCTCTCACCCGCCCACCTCCTCCACACACACAGCCCGACCTTAATGATAATGAAACTTTTGCTCAGAGAGTGACGGTCTGTATTTGTGTCAAGCTGACAGTAGGCTGCAGCAAGATAAGGGCACACTTACATAACGGAAGGAGAGAGAGCGAGAGAGAGAGAGAGAGAGAGGCAAAATAACGTTGTCCCAGGTAGCGCAAATTTTCTGGATGAATTGGAAAATTGGTGGGTGAATGGAGGAGTCATGGAGGTGGAAGGCCCACTGAGGATTCATTTCACCTCAGGTTGGCACTATTGTTGTAGCCACTGCAATCCAACGCTTTAGAGGGAGCTCTAGGACAGAATGAAGGCTGGAAAATAATATTGATTTTATATACTCCCAGGTTGGGTCCTTCAGGGTATTATATGCATCAAATATTATAATATATTCTGAGCACACTGGCTCTGAAATAAAATGCAGAAAGTTTCAAGTCGTAAAAGCAAGAAAGCATAGAAATCCACAATACCAAGAGCCATCAGGGAAGAAAGTAACGTGTGAGACCCAGAACAGGAAAGTAGAGCTGGTACAGAAAACAGATTTAACAAACTTTGAGTCTAGCCCTGAGTTGAGATTGGAAAGTTAGTTCAATCGACCTGGAGTAATAAGAGTAATGCCTGGTAATGGAAAAAATGAATGATATAACATCTGGTAATTAGCTGTGACCTGAAAGACAGGAAACTTGGGCAACTGAAGATAAATAATATGGATCAAACTAATGGTGATTAGAGGGTTTAATTAGGAACGTGTGATATTAGTCAGACCCAGAAAGACTGAGTTTGGTGATTTGCAATGAAAAAGATGTAAAGGTTAAATATTTACATTTTAAACATGTATTACACATTTCAAAATGTTGCCTCCCTTTTAACACTCATCATCCTTTAGATATTTAGATCATCTTCAACACGATGCTAAACATGAAAATCATTTGTGTTGATCTGTGCAACTGATAAATTATTGTTTACTGATAAGTGTGTTATATGTCTAAAGTGACGTACAGATTAATTTAATTTCAACTGTTTTTGCTACTGTAATGTACCATAAATATTTCAGTGAGGATGAACTAGTTAACAATTTGCAGCTCCCTTACTTTCCACAGGGGGACTGTTATAAAGGCTCAGCTGTACATTTTGTTATAAACTGATAATAACTCTACAATATCAAGGTATACAGCATTCTGGTATGTGTTTTGTTATCAAATGTATGAATGGGGAAATTAAACAGCTGACAGACAGCAGTCAGCTTGTTGAAGAAAAGCTGCCAGTGAATAGGTTAAATTCAAAGAGTCTTTACACAACAAGTCCCCAAAACACTGAGAACAGGCAGACTAAGGACAATCAACACATAACAGGAAGAAGAACAAAGTAAAGAAAAAATAAGACAGCCAATGAGGACCAAAGTTTCAAATTAACAGAGGAACGAACTGAACAGATTCGCACAGATAGTAAGACACAGTCAGAGAAAACACAGGAGGAAAATATGGAAAATACATGGAAACTTCTCCCTTTAGCTTCATTTTTCCATATGTTGGCTATGGAGACCGCTCAATGTTTTCCAAGCCAATCATCTGCCTCTATGTCACCCCTCTTTCACTCCAGCTCAGCCTCCTGTCTTTTCATCAGTGCCACTGTTTCTAAACCTTATGTAGCCGGATGGGCTACTCACCTTTCTCCTTCTCTCTCTCCCTCGCTCGCTCTACCGCCCTCGCTCTCTCCTGCGCTCGCTCTCGGCTACGCGAACAGGTTAATTGTGAATCCACCTGCATATTGATTGCAGAGCGGCGTCGGTCCGTATAAAAGGAAGCAAGTTTTCTCTTGGTTCATCTTCTCGTGTTTTTGGCGAAAAGCAGCAGTAAATGCTGGTACACCGCTACGGATCGATCAGCAAGTGAGCAGATCGCATGACAGCTACAGGTAGGCTCTCGCTTAACCTCTGATTCCCTCCGAGTACCGGAATTAATACCGAGTACCGAAAATAATATAGTTTTGCGGCCCGGTTGTAGCGCAAACCATCCTACTTTGGCAAAACGTCCTACCGTAAGTAGTTTATGCACATTTCTGCTGTCACAGAATTATTCCAGCACACATTTAAGTAGGTATGACCATTTGCCACTTAACTTTGCCCATCAGAGTATGTTTGTAGCTCATAATTATAAAGCCAGGACGGTTTGCCACTTCATTTTACCCATTAAAGTATGCTTGTAGGTAACAATCACAAAGGTAGCATTGTTTGGCACTTCATTTTACCCGTTAGAGTATTTTTCTGGCTAATATTCACAAAGGCAGTACGGTTGGCCACTTAATCTCTGTTGTGCGCGTGCGCAGAAACAACGGGTAGCATGGTTTGTCAGGTAGGATGGATTCCCAGAACACCGTTTCTGTTTCACTCCAGCGTTGCAGAGAGAGGTGCTCGAGTTCTCTGGTAGTGCAGGATAGCGCCTCCGGTCCTGGGGTAAGCTGCTCAAACTACTTTAAGCATTCACAATTACAGGAGGCTAAAGTTACATTTATCCTTTGTTTTAGGGTTGGATTGCTGCCTTGACCTCTCCGTGGCGAACCGCCCGACCTTAATTGGAAGCCGCTGTTGTGAGGGCTCCTCGGTAGAGCTGCTGTCTTGTCTGGTGTCGTCTTTTATTTTCGTGGAACTGTTTTTATTAAGTGGGCTTAGTTTTTGTTTTTTGGTTTTGTTTTTTTTTGGTTCGCCTGATTTTATTAAATTATTTTATTTATTAATTAATTTATTTTATTTATTCTGACCTGCTGCTTGCACCCACCCCTCTGTGATCGGGCTAGAGCGATCCTCTGCCCGAGTGTCGTGTTGAGAACTTTAATCCGCCTCAGTTGCCGATTCTGTGGGGAGCGAGACCGGCCTGTGATCGAGGCTTCGACAATTACAACCAGCACACGCTGTGGGTTGTAAGCCTACCAGTTGGGGTGTGTGTGTGTGTGTGCGCGCGTTTTTATTAGTCCTTTTATTCTTTTAACTCGTTGTTCTTTGTTTTTATTCCAGTGAACAGAGGACGTACCAGTGGCCCTGGGACCTTAGGTGGTGGTTTCACACTTTGTACAGCACTGGGTGCCAGCTGTAGTGATTTTCTTTTCGTGCGGTTTTCTTTTGCGTCCACGGCTGCTGTCAAGTCCCGGTTCCATGGTTGTTTTATTGTACTTTTAGGACACTGTCAACGACGATGCTACATAAAGTATTTTCTTAATGTTTTATTTTTATCAGCATAAATAAAACTGTATTAATATTGGAGCCAACCTGCCTCGGTGTGCATCCTTGAATCTGTGCGGCCTTTTATTCGTTTTTATCTATTTTTCTTAAAATGTGTATTTCCACTAGGTGACATTGTTGTTTTTATCTAACCCCACCGACCACTTGGTCACACTTGCACAGTGTTGGGAAGGTTACTTTTAAAATGTATTCCATTACAGAATACAGAATACATGCCCCAAAATGTATTCTGTAACGTATTCCGTTACGTTACTCA